TTTGTCCATAATAGATTAAAGAGAAGAGTTGTTTTCACCAGTGAATATCAGTTAATCTTGCACCATGAAGGCACATTTTATTGTCAGCGAAACCTGACCTGATCTATGCATGCTTAGGTCGCTAGGTCGATAGGTCACTATACCGCTCAAACCTCAGTTCACTGCAGAGGGCTTCATAACTCATGGACCAGGGACCCTAAAAACTCAAATTAAATGGCTTCGAAAGCTCACTTTAAAGATTCATTGTTATTTCATAGGATAGCAAAGAGAATTCCTTTAAAAAGTGACAGCTGCCAACGCTGTAAACGAGGTTTCTAAGCTGTATACTGACTCGCAGCATACTTACACACTGTGACGTGTCGGGTGTATTGGAATATGTGATTGTCCCTACACAGTATTCAACTAAGTTTGACATTACTCTGGATACATAGAATGTTAATGAGTAGTAGAAGTTATTCAAAACATCATTAGTACATACCCATGAAAATATTGAATATCACAAGCAGATAAATGAGTCTGAATGAATCTTTCAAAATATATAAACAAAAGCCCAACAAACGAACAATATTTGTAACATTTGCAAGCAAAATTATCAAATCAATGTAGGATCATGCTAACTAGGTGATCTCCAATAGGTGACCACATGCAGGTGAATATAAGTGCACCTCATACACACACAAGAATATATATATATATATATATATATATAGGAATTACGTACAGTTTTTAAGAGAAAGTTAATGACTAGCTAAGGAAACATGAAGTTCGTGCGCAAAACGGCTGCACAAAAAGTGCTTTGGCAACAGTGTTCATGAGGTATGCGGAGATGGGGTATGCCATAGTTTGAAGCAGCTATGCCATCCAAGCCAGATACTAACCGGACGTCACTGCCTGCCACTCCCACATGAGAACCAAACAATCGACTTTGCTTCTAGGAGAAAAGAAGCCCATGACAGGGCAAATTAAAAAAGTAGCGAAACGCGCCAATGTGTGTTTATGCCTTAATGTGTGCTTACGTGCATAAATATGCATAAATCCAGTCATTTGTCTGTGCATGCATATTTACATATGATGGGGCTGCAGAGATTATGGAAAGGACAGGATTATGGAAGAGGAAGGCCCATAGTATGCACCACACTCAAGTCCAATAAGAGAGGAGGGAGAAACTATGTAGGTTGTGCTAGAATAAAGGACTATCTTTGTGGTAGTGTGTCATTATTAGTTCCCAATTTTCATCTTCATAGCATGCGTATATTTATGTGTATGTGCCCACTCATTGTTGAGTGCACGTAGGACTAAGTTACTATGTGAATCGATGGAATATAATTCTATCAAGTGGCTAATAGAATATTTTATGTGAAAAGACATCCACATCTGGCATAAAAAACATTTTTGTATAGAACAACAGCAACTTAGAAATTATCGGAAAATTTCGCTTCGAGAAAGAAGAAGCATTGAAAATCGATTGATGCCTTAAAACCTGAATAATTATCTGCCTATGACGAGTTTAATAAATATGCCTATCATGCAGAATACATCATGGCATGTATTTCAAAGTAAATTATGAGCCGAAGAAAACTGTATCTCTGAACACGCCCGGATTGTAACTGATGAGATCGAATTGGGGATTCGGAAGAAGACTATTTAAACACAAACCCTTAAAGCCATTGGGTAAAAGTTGAGCAGCTGGCATTGTGGTTTACGTAGTAAGGCCCCAAAACTTAGAAGAGTAGAAAATCTGGCAAGCTTGACCACCAGTTGACATTTTTAGACTCTGCTCCCGATTTGGCTGCACTCAACCCATATCTCAGCCAAGGATAAAACTTTGAACCACTCAAAGAAAGTTACCATGTTAAGCGTTTATAGGACTATTATTTTTCAAGAATATGAGCTGATTGCCTGAGCAAATAAAAATCCTGTGTGCCTTAGCATTGTAAACCATCACCAGATTCACTTCGCAATGATTCCAAGGCTATATATCCTATGGACATTATTTTTATATCCAAGAGGATAAAAAATATATAAAAGCAAAAATGTTTTAATGAGAAAAAAGACCTCGATTGCCCTTTGGCTACTTTGGAGCGTTATTAACTAATATATAAACACCTTGAAACCAAAAAGGTCTTCAAAGGCCAACTAAAACTTGCTTTCATCTCCACGTTCTGATGCCGTCAACTGTTAAACATTTATGGTCCCAACGAAGCTCAAGTCCTTTTTATCCATGATCCAGTTTTTTGAGTCAAAAAATTCAGCATTTCTCTTTTCACTCGAAATATGAAAACACCAGTTGAAAGTAATTTCTTAGCATAAAACAAATTTCGGCAACGTCGAAAAAAATATGGGCATATAGGATAAAGTGGAGATATGTCTGACTGAACGAATAAATTTATTGCACAACTCATCCGCAAGGGCAATATTTCTAATTATTATCAATTCTTCTAATCTCACTAAGTTGTAGTAGCAATCGTATAGCACTATGTTATTTTGAGCAGATAGATTCATGAACGAACTAAAATACTTCGCCCTGAACCATGAGTTAGTTCTCGGCACATAGCATCCATTTATCACCCGGCATGTCAACAGTTCGAGTGATGAGAACTCTTCGCCGACTGTTTAACTTAGTCAAGGTGTCACTAAAATCACCATCGGCAAATTGTTCTCCCAGCAAGATAGAACGATAAAAGACGTTCAAGTAGTGATGGAAACAGTTGCTGTGTTTATGACTATTATAATAACGGCACTCATATAGACAGGTTAAATAGAAATGATTACACACTACTTGTTTAAGTAGCAAAACCAGCTAGTGAATAATCCGTGATTGATTTTAAAGCCCCTTCACATAATTATGCACACACCTTGGATGTCTCGCCTTTTCACTAAGGAGACAGCCTGAGCTAATACAATTGATGGGTCAGGTTAATCAGACAAAGATAAGGAGCGACATAAACTGATTAAATTTTATTATGCCTCCGCTAAATGACTGCCGATTATTATGTTTAGGCATCCCCCATGCTGTTTAGCCTGTCGATTATGACTGTCTAGCCTTGAGTTCAGGTTTGGACACTTACAAATCGGTAGTTTCCATCATCCACCCTAAGTCTGTTAGGGTATAGGCCGGATGGACATTCACCAAGGGACCATTTACTAAAGCTTAAAAGCAGGCTGTCCGTCTAAAGGCTACTAACAAGTCGAGCAATACATGCCAAGGCAAGTACTGAAAATTCATGAGACTAAGATGATTGAAGCAGGGCATTTTTTCACTTGTTCACTTACCTCTTCAATAGTGGTGTTTCAGTTAATTCCGTGCTGAGTGAACCTATTCCGAGAATCTGGGTTCCTGACCTAGTATCTATGAGTTACGATGTCAGAAGGTCTCTGAATCTTCGTGATGTCACCCACTTGTGGATAAATTTACCAAATAGTCGAATTAGCTCAACTTACTAAGTGGAAGTGATGAGAGAAGCAAACAATAATTTAACTTTATACTAAGTAAGTACACGAGATAAGTGAAAGATATTACCTTGACAATAAGAAGAATTTTGGTGGTGCTAATAATGATTTCTCTGGGCATTTGGCATTATTAAGGATAAGTCTGATGCAACAATCGACGCGAGTGACGGGAAATGAGCCGCATTTATGTGCACCTCACGCTGACGAAAACATTCGATAGATGGATGCTGTGAATCCCTTTGTCACTTGTCCAAGTTGCAAAAATAGCGACGACTTAGATTAGGGATTAGTAGAGTTCTAAACGAAAGTCTAGAATTATCAAGGTATAAAGAGAATGTGAGCAATAACATCTAATGCTAAGAAATAAACTAATTAACTAAACCAATGGAAGATAATCATTTGTGTAAGCACAAGCATACATGCATACGTACATAGATACATATGCACATATAAATATGCATATATAATTATGATATGGCAAAATTTGAATTTTTGAGAATAAGCAAGATTCGTTTAAACAAATACTTTAGACCTCTTGTTGCGTATAGTAACAAGCTGCATCAATACAGCTCTATACCAGATAGGAAAGTAAGGCTTGTCCTGCTCCTCCGTTAACCTGCTTTTTACAAGGCCACATACTATGTAACTTTTGTAAATATTTCGATGATGCAAAACCTTCCGCCTTGAATAATTTGATAACAAGCTGGTCAAAATGAAAAGTTTAGGGTTCGTTACGCCTGGGCAGGTATTATCTTAGGAACTTACTATAATAATTCGGGAACCTTTGCAACCAAAACATTCCGCCATAGCACATTAATGCTGATACAAGGGGCAAGATATGATGGTATCTGTAGTGGGTGGTAAATAATATATTAAGCATAGACTATGACAGTGTTCCTGGTAGGTCACCCAAGACCTAGTGGGTAGGCGGTGTGGCTATCAGGCTATCAAGAGCTTTAGATTATCGTCAAACTCGTGCGAATAAACTTCAGTTACGAAAACCTCTTCATTACTCATTTTAAATGAGCGTGCCAATGTTTCAGTTCTCCTATAGTCCAGACATTCCCGTTTCAGAGCCTTGCACCAAAACTCCCTTGAAGCAGGAAAACTCAAGCTTTTGCAGTGACCCGAGCTTGAGGCAAAAAGCTGACGTTCATATTTAATTGGTAGGCTTGGGAAACTCTAAGGCTTGACGATAGGAAACCTGTTTATGACTTGTCTGCCCTTTGCCCAGCCTCGAGTGTTGAGAAGGCAGTCGAGCGGCTCGCAGGCCTTCTGAGTTTATGTATTATTTCGAAGCCTAGTATGGGAGGCGAGTGTAGAGGCCAAGCTAATTCTAATTTTGTGCTATCTAAGTGAGTAAAGTTTCAACTATAATTCTGATGTCCGAGGACCAGATATATGTTAAGATCGAGGAGGGGAGGTAGAAGGCGGAGTGAGAAGTGCAGGCTCTGTTACCAGGGCTATTTAACCTTGATGACCAAACCGGGTTTCGACCTTTAACTTCAGAGCACCCCTAATTTTAGGCTTCGTTAATTGTCACAGGAACGTCAAGTCTGTGGCTTCAACGGCCAGCACTGTGAGGCTAAGTGTCCAGGCGCCAGTAAGTCAGGTGAGTTGCAAAGACGAGCCTTGGCTGGAATATCCTCCTTCCCATCCCATGGCAAACAGGCCGGCTCTAGCTGACCGGTGGGCCAGAGGGCTATGTGAGTGGCTGAAGTTAGTCTGATTAGCTTTATTTGGTCACGGAAAGATCGGAACATTTTGCTTTGGAAAATAGGGCTAAACTTCGGAGGCATTCTTAAACGGGTCAGTCTCATGTTCACAAGAATCATTATAAAAACCGAATTGTCACGCATTCCCTAGATGTGTACGAAAATTAGCATACAGAGATGCACATATGGCTGAGGAAACTTGAAACGAAACTGTTTGCAAAAGTTAATTCACATAGATCCAATTGCACATCCCGATGCACACGTACATTTGACAAAGTTGTTCCAGTGATAAACCTTCACCACGATGCGGTTTTGCGAAAGCCGTTAAAAAAAGAGATACACGAGAATAAGATGGAACCGACTGCTCTGACTGGACAATCAAGCCGGCTGGCTGTCAGTTGATCCATCTGGTGCTTTAGTGTGCTATAGCGATAGTGGCCCTGAACATGGACTGAGAGGTACTATAGATGAAAACATATATACACATATAAACAGATTCGTACATAAGCACAGATGTCACGGAAAAACCAGTGATTTTTACGAGGTGCTGAGGTTTGTATGAACAGTTTATGACTGTTCAACTTCCTTAAACTAATCGCCTCTCCCTCATCTACGTTGCCGATTTAAGGGAGTTGGTCTATAAATTTCGGACAGTAAGGAAAGTAAGTTTAGGGGAAGAAGATTGTAGGAGGAAGAGGAGGAGAAGATGGTGCTTTTGCTTTGGCGCTAATAGGGTAAAAATAAACCAATGACCCATTCCCAAGGTCCAGTAAAATCCGATTTCTTATTTTGTAGATTGGCTTATCAATCACCCGCCCATTCATTCAATCAATTTATCGTAGCTCTGGACCCACATCTGCTTGCCTAACTTACAATATGCTCACCAGTTTCCAATAATTCATCAAACTTAACGACCTAACTACCTAATTACCTACCTACCTACCTACCTAACTACCTGCCTACCACCTACCTAACTACCTACCTACCTACCTACCTACCTACCTACCTACCTACCTACCTACCTACCTACCTAC